TAGTTTTTAATCTGTCGGTTCAAATCAAAGGAAAGTTGAAATCTATTCATGCTGTTCATGTGCAGTAAGAGCTCTCGTCCATGAGATGTGGGGAAGGGACCATCATGGCTGAAGGGGAAAAATGAGAGAAAATCAAAAGTAATATAATTATGAACCATTAAAAGGCTGATGTGCACAATATGTTATAGGATGGGCATATAATGGCCTTAAAACAAAACCAGAGTCCATTATAAACATAATAATAAACGCTGGGGTAAGCATTAAGAACTGAAATGTCACACCTAAGGTCACGGAGACACTTTGACTTCACCACACATTTGAGGGGTGACAGGGCAGGCCCTGTTGTGTTGCCTCCTTATTAAACAAAAGTGATGGAATATTAAATTCCCAACAGCCCAGAGCATCCAAAGTTTACTTATTGAACCACGGATGTAAAAATAAAATCCAAGAAGAGCTAGCTAACCGCAAGGACATGTCCCTCCTGCAGCAATAGATCTGCATGAAGACAATTATAGAAAGGCCTTCTACAAAAAGAAACGAATTTAACCATAATTACCACCAAAGAAAGCTATCTGTTGGGATTAATAATGACACCTTCACCCCACCATTTAAAAAAACCCTCTCTATTCACATGCACTGGGCATTATGTGGTGTTGGAATCGGAACGTTCTGAATTATGTGATTCATTAGGTGTTGTGGCCTTGAGATAAATGTGAGGGCTACAACAGCCAGGAGCCAAATGTAGCTATTCCACTAGAAATGTGGTGAGCTCCCTGTGTTGAAATGATAATAATTTTGATATACTGGGTTGAATCAAATATAATATTAAAGTGACTTTCACCTGTTTTCTCTTTACATTTTTTAATGTGGCTACTAGAAAATCACGTATGTGGCTTGTTTTATTTCTACTGGACAGTGCTGCCTTCGAGCCTTGGTGATCATTTAATAACAGCAACAAAAAACCCCACCTAATATGTCCTGTGCACGCCCCGTGGTGCCAGGCACTAATCCAGGCATGCCACACACGTTCCATCATTTAATCTTTATAATGACTCCATGAAGTGGGTGTATTCTTATCATCCCCATTTTACAGAAGAAAGCTGAGGCACAGAGTATGCAGTGGAGTAGCTCAATTATTTGGCTGAAAAAATGGAGCCAAGAATGAAACCCGGGCAGTCTGGCTCTGAATAGAACACGGTCTTAATTCAAAAGAGTTTCTCTGCTCTTTATGATAGAGATAACATTGGTTTAAAAAAAAAAAAAAGTATTGCAAATAAACCTTTCCTAACCACTCCAGCTTATTGTTAGAAAAAAAAATTAAATATCCAAAAGCAAACAAACTAGACATCTTCATATTTATTTATTGCTGTTTAGATAGTGCCTCCAAGAAGCACTTAAACAAAATTCATGCTAGGAAAAATTATAGGCAGTCTCATATTTTAAACTACAGGAAGCAAACAGTCCTGGAAAGGGAAGGTTGGGATAGTTTCCAATGGCCAACGCACCATCATTTCAGAGTCACTGTTCTAGAATAAAACACATCCCCATATACTGGACTCAAATGATCATGTTCTCTGATTGATCATGAACACAATAAAGGCACCATCTCAATGTGCTAGTCTTGCTCCTTTGACCTTGTAAACTAGCACTGAGAGCGCCACCATTTTGTTTGGATGATAAAGTCACGACACGACGTGTGCCTACTATTTACAGTAGATGTTCAGCGGAACCAACCCCCTAAGCCATGCTGACTGCTGGCCAGCCAAGCCAACATGTGATTCCATCAGCAGCACCGTATCTGGATCTAGCTTATCACACGGACCAGAGTCAGAGCTCACTGGCTACAGGGCTGGCTTGAATGTCCAAGGAGACTCACAAAAGAGGCAAAATAAGTAGTTGTTCATATCTGGAAGGCTTCAAAGAAATACCCATCATACAAGTCATCATACAAGTGCTACCCACTGCATTTTATGGCGGACACATTCTCATTTTCACTGCTTACAGGCACCCACACGGTGTAAGGGGGAAGAGACAGAGGAAACAGTCTTTGGAGAAAGAGAAGGATGAGGAACTAGGAATGTTTTCTTTCTGACAGCAGCAGACGAGGGATTCTGTCTACTTGCTTTTCCGCATTGGCTGTCTGCCTTTCTGAAACGAACATTCTGTGCTAACTTTATGTTGGCAGGGTCAGGGTGGGCAGGTCTGAAGTGATAAGACTTGGATGGCTAATGGTTTCCCTTCTGAGCACTGCCAACACTGTGACCTGCATGAGGCGTGCCAGCAAGGATCCCGTTTGGCCACATGAAAATGAGCTGTTTCTCCTCCCTTGGCGGGGGGGGGTAGATGAGGCGGTGTCTGATAAAAGTATTGTCTAAGGATGGTTTATGGTAAAGAAACTGGGAAGCCAATATGATTAATTGATTTCTTCACTATTTCCTTGAAACAAAACTACCTAGAGACAAGTCATATATTGCAAGTCACAGAGAAAAAATCTTCACATACTTCTTCTGAGTCTTTGAACAGCAGGGAGTGAGGTAAACTGATGTTAACTAGGCTTTTCTAAGACGCCCAGTTACCACATGTCAAAATGCTTCTAACTGACAAACGCTTGACAAGACATCCAAGCCTACAACTCTGCCTTTTGTTTGGAACCACAAAAATATTTGAAATTCTAATAAAACCCAGTACTACACAATTATTACTCTTTGCCTCTCCCCTTCACAGAGTGTCCTACAAAAAAAGTGGCCAGACTTGTTATTTCTTAGCCTCATTATCTCAAGCTTTTATATCTTTGAAGACAAAAGCATCTATCTTAATGAACAAAAAGCATCTCTTTTCAAAGTCCCCTGCCCCAACCCTGGGGATATAAATATTTGGACTGCAATTTTACTTTATTCTAATAAAACAATGCTGGCTTCACCATTAGGAAGAAAACTCGTTTCCTATTTCATTATCTTCTTAAAGCTAGCAGATCCTGTTCAGCAACCAAATTGCTAGTACTTCTTTTGTCATCAGAGAAGAATTAAAGGAAAAAAAAATTTTTCTCAAAGTAAAACGTCTGCCAACAGCAGTGAAGCCAAGTCTGTCTGGCCTGACTTTGTTAGTGGGACAATATGTCTCTCCTGCACATAGCTCCTTCTAAACAACCTGCCCTATTTACTCCCAGAGCGGCAACACTGGATGTTTTAGGAAGCTCCCTGGTCCCTCTGCTGATCTGAGGATGGACACGTGACCCACGGCCAGCCAGGCTGTTGGCTGACCAGCATCTATTCAAATCTATCTTCTTGAATAACTGAAATAGGACCCTCACTATTGTCAGTTGGTAGCTGGCCCCTGGGTTGAAAGGTCAATTGGCACTGGAGCAACCATATTCAGCCAGGTAACCAAAACAAAACAAGGAGTAAGAAGGGATGAAAATTCTGTAGAAGTACAGAATCACAGAATCACAGAGCAGTGGCAGAAACTCCAAGATTTAAGAGCCTGTGTGGCCCCTGAGAGACAGAGAGTGCTTCGCTTCCTAGTTACAGTCCTGGTTATGACGGCTCCATCTCAGGATGCCTCGACCACTATTTCCTTAAAATGCTCCCTTACCTGAGCTACCTTATGTGGGTTTCTGTTTCTTAACTCCAAAATAGACCTGACCGGGACACCATCCAACCCTATTTCCCCCACTCCCTATTCTGTACTCTCTGCCTTTACCAGGAAAATCTTTGGACTATTCCCCGTCGCAGCCGGATCCATAATCTTGTTCCCCGTGTCTTCAGTTACATCACCGATACTATCACATAATTCTAGAACTTCTCCTGGCCCACTACAACATCCCTTATTCCTACCTGTCCCACACTCTGGGAAGGCATTTCCATGAGCAGCTCTGGTAAGAACCTTCCATTTTTAGACAGTCCTGCTTAATGGCTCAAATCCCATTTCTTAGAATCCTACCCATTATTGCTGGCTCTATTTTCTGAAACTATGGAGAAGAAACATACTCTTCTTCTACTTCAGTGCATGCTGCATTACGATGACTAATATATCCCCTCTAGGAATTTTCGCCTTCCATCTATTATCCCTCATGAGGTGATTTCAAGGCTCCCCACCCCTTCCCACTCCCACCCTCCCGGTGGCTCCTCTTCCTTTGACACAGCCCCCAACCCCATCTCCATTTCACCAATTTCTAAACCCACCCTCCTAGGAAATCAGCCCCAGCCACAGTCAGAGAGAAGCAGTTCAGTGTAATGGTCAGCAACGTGGGTTTTGGAATCAGACAAACCTGGGCTCGGTTTCTGGCCTCAACAGTCATTAGCCATGAATTCTTGGGCATGCTACCCAATCTCTCCAGGCATGACATCCTTATGTGCACCATCCTGGTGCAATAGCCATCTCTCCACGCTGTTTGGCCATGAAACTGGCCATATATAAAGTGCTTAGCACACAGAAAGAGCTCAATTCATGGTACTTACTCTTTCATTTCATCGTGTATACAAATCTCCCCCTTTTCTGAGCTTTGGGTAGGTTTAGGGGTTCAGAGCATGATCTTTGGGATCAGACACTATGGCTTAGTAACCAGCTGTGTGGCCTTGGGCAAGTTAGTTCACTTCTGTATCTCTTCTCTATAAAAGGGGGGTACAAAGAGGACTGTTGTTCCTGAGGATTAAATGGGTGAACACGTATATAGAGCTCAGCAGAGTTTCTGGCACAAGCTGTCATCATCATAGAGAACAGCTATTCTCTCCTCAAGATCGAATACTTACCTAATACCTGATCTCATACCAGCAATTCTCCTCAGCCAGTTAATTTGCAGCTGAGAAACCATGTTTTATATTTTTGAATTCTTGGGTTCAAAAACACGTGTGTTGGAAAGAAAAAAGGAATCAATGGGGAGCAGAGGATCAAAACATAAAAGATAAAAAAACATCTTTACTGGTGTGTTGTAGCCATGTTAAATGGTTAAGTCAATGCAAAACAAGTGAACACAGAGGTCCCATGTGGGGCTGAATATCTACCTGATGGTAAGAGATGGGGACAGGCTTCCAGAAGACGATCCACTCCACAATTTCACTACACGGCGGGGTGGTCAGAGAACCCGTGTACCGGTAATAGCTCCCCAGGGACGCGGGCAGGAGATCCCGGAGGACAAAAGGATCCAGAAAGGTCTCCTTCTCTGTGTGGAGGAAGAAGGAAAAGAAAGGCACGATGATGATAAGTCATCTTATGCTGCAGACACACAGTCAAAACCCCCGGCATGCTGGTGCCAGGCACAAGCCTTCTGTTTGTTTACATCCTGAGAAGCACTAGCATTCGGTGGTGGGAGGACCACAGCAAACAAAGCAGTGTTTCCCAGGGTGCGTTCGGAGGCACCACGGTGCACTGTATTTCATGAAAAATGAAAAACGGGTTCCATGAAGAGCGCCTCTGGGCAACCTGCCGTCCCCTCCTTCTCCCCGCCCAGAGGACAGACAAAACACTACCATAGTCAAGTCTGAGAAGTCCTGCAGAAAAAAAAAAATGGACCTGATTTTATGTAACCTATCCTTTCCCAATCTTGCTTCACCACCGAACTCTTCCCCATCCGCTACTTAGGAACCAACAATCAGTGGCATAAACGCTGGGACATGCACGAGAGATGCAGCGTGAAAAGAAAACTGTCAGCCAACGGTAAAGTTCAATTCTGACATCGGTTACATCTGATCGTAGTCTCACTCAGCACCTCTCCAATCAAAGTGAAACCTAACCAACCTACAGCCCTGAGCTTATAAAATGGGGGCCGGGGAAATAGGCTTCTTCTTTTTACAAAATCAGAGGGGTCTTTCCTCAAGTAGAAGGAATGATATTTCAACCAAGACCTAAAAATGATACCTGACAATAACTCTATGAGAAAAACAAGGTGTGGAAGGGGTTAGTGTCTGCCCAAGGTCACACAGCTCCTAAGTTTCAAAGCTAGGATAGGAACCCAGGCCCTCTGACACCAGAGCCTGCACAGCTCTGACTCAGCTAATGAAGAAGCTGAAGTTAACTTCAGTGAATATTGAAGGGTGGGGGCAAAAGAGGAGAAGAGCATTTGGGGCTGCAGGAACAGCATGTGCAAATGTCCTGAGGCAGGAAGAAACAGTGCAACAGAGTTTAGGGCACTGTATTATTGTTCTCCCAATCAGGCTCAGTAGATCATCCAGGTTCTTTCCCAAATCAGAGAAGGCTCTACTCTCTCTCTGGGTCTCCAAAGGTCTAGCCCTGAATTTAAGTCTGGGATTCCTTTCTTATCCCTTTTCGGGATGTAATAAGGCTATTATAGTCCTGCTAATGGTTTGCCTTAGCTCCCTAATGGCCTCTACCATGGGCCCAAGGACATCCTTGGGGGGACCTCAGGGCTCCAGGTTACTTCCTGGACACATCTGTGCCACAGGAGTAGTCCTTCTGGGTTCACACCCCTTCCTTCCTCTTCTTTCATGCCAGTACAGGTCTTTGGGCAAATGTGCATCCATGGACTTGAGAGATCTCTGTAACTGGGGGATATGCAAAAGCCCCAACAGAAATCAACTCTTTTAAAATAATTAAAACGGCAATTTTCTTTTGGCAAAGATTAATTGAATGAAACTTAACATTTATTTAGCTTTATTATTATATGCCAGACACTATTCTAAGGGTTTACATGTTGCAAACATTTAAGCAGTACTTACTGTATGTGCCAGGCCTTGTTCTTAGAGCTTTATAAAGATTAATTTATTTAATTCTTAAAATAGCCCCATGAAGTCATCCTGTTATCATCACCAATTTACAGAGTTCGAATGCACAACCAGGTAGTTGAGTGTAGAATCCAGGCTTTCATTATTCTTAAGCCATTACTATATGCTTTCAATTTACAATACTTTGGAGTGTGTACTTTTTAATACTCCAATTTCACAGATGTGGAAATCAAGGCACAGAGAATTTAAATGACTAAGTCGAGGATCACTAGGGATTGGGGAAAGAGAAGCAGTTATTCATGAGGCTCAGAAACCTTGCCTGATTCTCATACAGGTTTTCAATTCTGTATTTTTAAGGAAAAATTAAATATTAATTCATAAATGCCAAAGTCTTCAAATTATAGGGTTCTATAACCAAAATGACAAAAGCAGGTTCTGTTTGAATAAAAGGCCGGAAATCACCGAATTGCCTCTCCGCCCACTGGCAAGTGTGGGTTTTAATTTAAACCTGGTTACCAGCAACCTAATGATGGGGTAAATCTCTGCAAGCGTGTTTGGCTGTGACTGGGAAAAGCAAATTCTGGCCTTTGCTTGCTGCTTCTGTACTTCCTGAGCTACGTAAACAGCCAACACAAGGCCCCAAGCAATAGAGGGAGCATAGGGCCTGGCATCACAAACCACAAAATCACCATCTTCATTTTTCCCACACATTGTAGGTGAACTTGGCATCGCACCACAGCACGCGAATCTGCCTTAGGATCAAGGGCTTCAGGCTGAATGACCAGAAAAGCTGTAGAGTTTTCCCATAGGAGCCTGATCCAATATTAGGGCTGCAGTTAAGCGTGCTGTAGGCAGACGGGTAGTGACAAGACAGCGCCCAAAAGCCTGCAGTGACGAAGCCCCCACCCAGAGCATCCACTGCAGGAAGAGGCCGCGGCTTTAAGGAACATACAAAGATAAAGCAGAAACACCTGCCCCATCCATCTGAGATGACTGGATCTCACCAGGGCACTTGCTTTCAGCAGGATCGGGAGTCTCCTATAAGTTCTTGTACGGGCTTATGAATTTGGCAGGGACTGATGGAAACTGCAGGCATGACCATTGCTACAAAGGCAGAAGGGACTTTTTTTGTCCTTGACCAACCCAAGGGCTTCAGAGGCAGGTTCTGGCTTTAAGTGATTAGCAGGTGCAATCAGATGGGTGGTGGTGGGGGGGGTAGACATGGGGGAAGGGGACAGAGAAGGAGGCTTTGCTGCTTGTTGACCCTGCCACAGTCACTGCCATTGGGTTAGGATTCTGAGACCTGGAAGGGGCTTAGACCACCCTCATTCAGTGGCTTTGGGAGCCAAGGAACCCTTTACTCAAACAAAATCTTACACAGGAGGTGGCCAACTGTAACAGCTCGAATGCAGCTCCACCATGGTTAAAGCTGAGCTGGGAACACAGGGACACTTTGGAAACTACCAATTTAGTCTAGTTCTTTAATTTTACTGCTGGGAAAATGGAAGACTCGAGGGGAGGTCAAAAACTTGAGAACAGGGGTGCCTGGGTGGCTCAGTCGTTAGGCGTCTGCCTTCGGCTCAGGTCATGATCTCAGGGTCCCGGAATCGAGCCCTGCATCGGGCTCCCTGCTCCGTGGGAAGCCTGCTTCTCCCTCTTCCACTCCCCCTGCTTGTGTTCCCTCTCTCGCTGTGTCTCTCTCTGTCAAATAAATAAATAAAAGTCTTTATAAAAAAAAACAAAAGG